CCCGCCGTCGGGCGCAGACGCTCCCCCTGGTGGGGCGGGGCCCGGCACCCCCTTCCTAGCCCAGATCCGACTGGTCGGGGACGCCCGCCCACCTGCGCGCGGGAGGGGGCCTCAGGGATGACCGAAGAGAACGGCAGAGCCGGGCTCCGCGGGTCCCTGCCTGAGTCGCTGGCTGCCGCTGTGGTCTCCCCTCATCATTACTCCTGAAGCCAAGGGCTGCGGTCTTAGCCATGCCAAAGGGGGACATGGGCGCTGAGGAATCCCTCTCGGGTAAAGGAGATGTGTGGCTGCTTGTATTGCAGCGTGAATTGACTGGGGACACCGGGCTGGACAGTCTCCTAACCACTTTTTCCCTGCAAAAATGATATCTCAATATCGTCAAGAATTGTCACTTTCATCTTTGATGGATCCTCTCCTCTTCCACCCCAACCGCTGCTCTTTTCTTACTTTGAGTCAGTATATCGCTGTTGGGAATCTCAATAGTCCAAGTAGCCTTATCCATTCTTTCCCCGAGCTGGATCTGCTCCTGAAATGTCCTCCCCAGGACAAGTAGGTGGCTAAGGAGCCTGCCAGGGGTACGTATAAATGTGTATGTGCTAGGAAAGTAGGGTGTCATCCAAACATTTTGATGTATTGGAAAGCACTTTTAGAGTATCCGTAAAACAGAGACTCAATAAACTGAAAGTAAGGCTTACAAAGTTGCATCAACCAGTTCAAACAAATATTGTACTTGGAACGGGTATGATTTAGTCTATTACCATACAAATGGAATTATGCCATATCACAAAGGGAATAAAGAATGCTTATAGTAGAATTAAGATTTTTATTTATGTGTACAAAAACATATATAGGCCAGAGGTGTGAGAGAATTCATCAGAGACAGTGGGAAACAGAACACGGAGATCTACTGAAATACACTGTAGGGGGGAGCAGCTGGTGAGAAAGGAAATGTCTGCTGCGCCATGTGGGTCAACTCCCTGCCCAAGGATCTAACTCAAGCCACAGTAACTGCTGCCAGCATGATAGTGCTGAGACTAATTCCTTGGGCCACCAGGAAGGCCCTATAATTTCTGAGTTTGTTATTCAATTATATTCCTCCGACATAAGTGTCAAAAAACAAAATGAATTTATACAATCCCAGTATTGCAGTGTCACAGAATTTGGTCCAGGATCAGGAAGGAGTTGGTTTCCTCAGGAGCTTATAGTCTAGGATGGCACTTCTTAGGTTTTCTCCTCCATGATCTGCCCCCCATCCACAAGCTCACATTCGTCAGGGTAGAGGCAAAGATAAAGAGACTGTGGCTTACACCCAGTTTCTGGAGCCATCAGCTGTCACTTGCCACTATCACAGCGAAGTGCACTGGAGTATGAGGGGGCGCAGTCGCACGGAAGTAGCCTCAAACCCAGCAGTTTTAAAAGTAAATTGCTTGCACACTTCAGTTCTCCAGCTTGTACCAGTACAGATAAAAGTGGTTAACACATCTTAGCACTGATGAAGACATGCCAGGATGCCCCAACACAGGCCTTCAAGTCTCACAGAGGAACCATAAGTGCCAGCTGCTTCCTTTCTGGCCGTCAGGGTTAGTAAGTTCTACACTGTCAGGACAATAAACTTCCTCAGTGTCTATCTCTAAACACTGTATGACAGGCAGAAGGGAAAGTTCTGCTATTCCTACTGCCTAATATTTTCTTGGCTGACTCGTAACATTGTAGCTAAGTTATTTCATTAAAGTATTTTTAAGACTCTTGAAAAAACAAAGGAACACACTACTGCCTCTTGACATGGTAAAGGAGTATGATAGATGCTCTAATAAAAACATACAGATGGTCCTACTAGGGCTCTGTGAGAGAGGGTATTAACCTTTATCTGCAGACGTTGACTTGAACTCGAGTATATTTAGGAACTTTCTATGTGAAGATAGTGTGACGTAAGGGGTGGGGAACTTGCAAGGCATGGGGTGAGGGAGAATGCAAAGTCACTGTGGGAAGGTTTAAACCTTTTAGAGAAGAGGTGGTTACAAAGAATGAGATCTGGATGTACAGAAAGACTTGCTGGAAGAAAAGGTATAAACACACTAAATTCTAACTTCTCTCCTATGAGACTCATGAGCTGTGGAAGATGTAGATACATTTTGGAAATACATTCTTGATCAAAGAAATCAGTAGCTGTGGGGTACCTTTGGTAAAGGAAAATGGGTGACCCTCCAAGTCTGCAAGGGGCAGACTTCACCCTTCGTATCTTCTGTAACTTTTAGTTTTGAATCTTATTAGTTGAAAGAAATTAACTGTTAGGAGGAAAAGTTAATAGTAAATTTAGTATGTAGGTCAGACACAGGACAAGCCCACAGTGAATAAGAGACTTCTGGCCATCTAGCAAGGCATCATGAATGAAAAGGAAAACTCAAGTTATTTTGAAGTGGAATTAATGAGGTGTTTAGGAATTGATGCAAACAGGGAGAAGAAAAAAATCTTAGTTTTCAGGTTTCTGGAGGTATTACTGCTGAGCTGGAGGGGAAATGGAAGTTCTCAACAGAAATGATGAATCTGTATTAAGGCATCTATCATGAAAGGTATTTAGGTAGATACCCAATATGAAACTGGTAATACAGGTCAGTTATTCCAAAGTTCAGTGTAGAGATGCAGTTAGGGTATCATCACCATACAAATGGTAGATGAAAAGGGTCATTGAATAAGGATGAGATCTCCCCAGTCTACAGAGGACCCCAAGAACAAAACATTAGAGAAAATGGACAAGATCATTTAGAGAAAAAAAAAATGAAGGAAACAAAGAGAAATCAATTTGTACTAGAAGCTACCAGAAGTTATAGTGATTAAAATTAATTTATGTATAACTGTGCACTGTCCCACTCAACCCCAGCCCTTTAACTAGGATAGATGATTTCTAACTCGTAGATTGAAAACTTATTAGAATAACATATATAGTCCCCTCATGATAACTTTTAAGCTTCAATTACCATTTTAGAAATAGGCACAGAATTGGCTTCTTAAATCTGGGGCCCTCCCTGGTGGCACAGCGGATTTAAACACAGCACTAAGAAGCTAAAGCCACTTCAGCATGAGTTTGATCCTCAGCCCGAGGTGATCCACATGGTGTGACAGACCTCTCCTGACACGCCTGTTGCTCCCCCTCAGCAGTGTACTTCATCAGTAGGCCTGTTCTGTTCCTCACTGTCTCTGGTGAATCCTGTCTCTGAACCTCTGGCTTGTACACCCCAGTCCTGTATGCATAAATAAATCTTAAAAAAAAAAAAACCTTAGCCCTGTTTACAAGGATGCTCATATCCATTGCTGTGTAGATGGATCAACCTGCCCACCTCTCAGTTGATTTCATCTAGCATGTGGACCTATTTGTGACCATCACAAAGTATATTCATTTAGGGCCTCTCTGGTGCAGCGCACAAGGGCATAAGTCTCAGCACAATGAAGCTGGCCAAGGAGCTGACCCACATGGTGCAGCAGACCTCTCCAGTATGGCCTGCTGCTCGCCTCAGCAGTGCATCCCAGTCAATACACCTGTTGCGCTCCCCACTCTGCCTCTGGTGGATCCTCTCAGCCCCCTGCAACTCTGGCCTAGATCCCAGTTCTTCTATGTATAAGTAAACAAAATAAATCATTAAAAAAGTTTCATGTGTAGCTGCCTAGCTCTAACCCTGTGCCCATCATGTCCCCACAACAGGAACTTCCCAGGTTTGCTAAAAAGGAAGACACGTAAAATTCTTTTATCTCATTTCACCTAACTTGACATCTTACCTATAACAAAAGATATAGTTGCTGAAAGCTTGTATTCTAGGGTCTCTCTAAGCTCTATTAAAAGGTTTCTTGGTGAACTTCAGAAACAGGCACAAGATTTCTCAAAGGCCAAATTTCTATAGGACAGAGGCGGCTTTCCCAATACCATGTCTGCAGGGTGGATTCTCAGGGGCCAGGTCCCTGCAGGACAAATAAGAGTAAGTGCCCTGTGGCAACTTCCCAGTCAGAAGCTATTAGTAAGACACCTCCCTTTGAATAGCTTTCCAAGAGCCCCTCTGGTGGCTTTCTAGCAAGTTCCAGCAGCAAGCCACTTCAACATCCAGGATACTGCCCCTCTGCAAAACCCTATCTCAGCTCTCGGAATGGGGCAACCTCTTCCTCAGATTTTCAGCTCAAGGGGTAGTGGCTGCTCCCTCTCTCTATTCTGTATTCGTTAGGAAGACAACTATCAGGGGAAAGGACTGTCAGTAATATGGCTTAGCTGGAGAAAGCAATGTTAGGACAAAAATATTTCAGTACCTGTGTTACAGGGGAACAGCCCTCAGTGGAGAAGCTACTAGCCTCTGGAGGAGAGGTAGGAAGCAGAAAGCCTCAGAGAGAAGTACTATACAATTAGGGTGCCCTCTGGGGAGAGAGCCCTGAGAATCATCCCTCTGAGGTAAGGCAGCAAGGCAAATGCCTTATTAGAGTTGTGAGATGAAGTAGTGTAATAGAAAACCTTCATATTAGAGAGGTAGAAAGTTAAGGCACAGAAATTATTAAAGCTATATATTTTCCTTCTCTGTAGTCATACTCTGAAAGCAGTTACTGGAATGTATTCTACACAAATTACAAAGGCCAATGTTAAGATAATCTTTGCAGCAAATTTGCTTTAAATAGTACTTTTACTCATCTATCACTAGATGTCCAACCAGTGTTAATCATATGAAGAGCAGAGATCTAAGATCTCATTCATACATGAAATTTTAGTATTGGGTTAATTCCTTTAAAAGAGTAACAGCAAGCCATTTTCAAATCTTGATAAGAGAAAATCTGCCCTTTCCTGATCACCTCTTCTTGAAAAAGTCCCATGAAAAAAATCTATTTTTAAGAATAAAATTCTCAGGTTCATTTAAAATTCTGTAGTACAGGCAGACTTAAAGAAAGCTATTTCCGCCCCCCGCCCCATGGCAAGTTTAGATCAGTGCTAAAATCTGTATATAATCATCGGCATTCAGTAGCTGAAAATTAGTGAACTTGTTCTTGGACTAAAACATGGTTAACTTACAAAAACACACTGAGGGCCCTCCCTGGCAGCACACTGGGTTGCCGCACGCACAGCACTAGGAAGCCAGCGGCAGCAGCTGCCTGAGCACCACTTGGAAACCCAGCTGGGAGCTGACCCACATGGCGCACAGACCTCCTGACTAGCCTGCTGCTCCCCTCAGCAGGTACCTGTCTACCTGTCCAGGACCCCAGGCTGCAGTTGTCTCTGGTGAATCCTCACTGCCCTGCATCTCTAGCCTGCACCCCAGGTCTGTATGCATAAATCTTACAAAAAACAGGGGTTAAGAGAGTCAATGTTATTAAACTACCACCAGCCACTGTGGAGAGTTCAGCTCATCCCAGACAGGGAGATGACCCACATGGACAGACCTCTCCTGTTTGGCCTCCCCCTCTCCTCAGCAGTGTATTTCAGATTTGTTTTGCCCCACTTAACCCCTTGTGCAATCAGGGAGGTCCCTGGTCACAACTTTTAGAATCCACTCAGATCAAGGATACAGAAGTCAAAGGGAGATCAATGAAATTTTGTCAGTGTGACCTTCCTGGAAGACACGGAATTACTGCCTTCTAGTCCCAAGTCCAGTAAAGGGAATTTTGAAGTAACCAGTTTAGAAATGTATTTTTCTTTTGGTGGTAGTGGTGGTCATGGGGTTGGGAGAGGGCTTCTGGCATGAGATCACCCTGCGCTTTACAATTTGTTCAAGATACAGATATAGGCCCATCCGGAGAATGAGACAACATAGGATGAGAAACTACCAGAGACAGAACTCAACCAAGAACCTCTGAAAGAGGTGGCACATGAGAAAAGGCACGTACATAAAGTCTAGTCATTGGCTGTATCCAAGGACTGAGCACCCCCTCCCCTAGTCCTCAACCATGAACCCCACTTCTCACTCTTTCGTGCTATCTAATCTACCACTAAGGAGTGAAATTTCAGTCACAAGCCTAAGAAGTACAGGGAGAAAGCTGAGATCAGAGGGATCCTGCCCGTCTCCACTGCTGGCTTCCAGCCCAGAGGCCTAAGCTAGTAGAGGATTGGGGTTAGTCCACTTTGGGTTTAATCATATTATATAGAACAGGGCATTTTAATTACTAATCATAATCATCTGTGATCTAAAACCATTTGGGTGAGACAGTCTTTAACCTAGCACACCAGAAATTATTATTTTTGTATCAAGGACACAAAAATAGCACTTATTTCAAATCACATATCATGCATGTGCTAACCACTTCATGTATTGTCTTTCTTTCCAGCACTCACTACTTAAAATTGTTCAGCTTTTCACCTTAACACATAAACGGAGATCTGCCAGGGCAGGGTTCTCTTTTGCCTTGTTTCTATCTCCTGGACCTAGAACTGCTTCTGGCACAGAAGTCACTGAAAACTATGGTTCACAAAGAGGTACTAGACAGTAAAAAGAGCCACCAAAGGTCATCAAAGTCATATTTCAAAAGTATCAGAACACTCAACACTTGCATCCCCAAGACCCAGAACCCCCAGCAGTCGTTTCACTGGTTCACAGTGAGTGCTCCCTCAAAGTCTTTCTTGGTTCATGTGACTCAGCTTTACCTTGGCTTCTGAGCCAATTCTGCAAGCATTGCAGCCAACTTCAACTTCCACCAAATTGGCTTTTGTTCCTATTCTTTATGGCCTGGCCTAGTCTACCAGGTATGTAACATGTATTTTATGAACCTCTCATCTCTAGACATCCCTCCAAATCTGAGGCTCTCAAAACTATCTTCCCCTTCTGGAATTTTGCTATTTTCAAATGATCTCAAGCACAGATGTGTTAAAGATGGTTAAAATCATATCAAGAAACTGACACTACTTAGCGTTTCTGAATTCCTTCCTGTTGTCACTTTATCACTTCACATTCCTACTTCTATCACCTTTACCATCCTAATCCTTAAAATCAGCTCCCTTTTGTAACTACAGGTATACCGTTTTACCTTATTTTCACTGTGCTTTGTAAACGTAAATGCGTGGCAACACTGTGGTAAGACCAAGACTGGTCACTGGCACAGCATGCACTCAATGTCATTTTTCAGGCATATACCTTCCTTCCAGAATGTGCTATTGTATACATTATGGACAAGTCTTTACATGCACTGGAAAAAAC